TCACATAATCTTTAGGATCTTGAATCTATTCTCCATGATCTCCTCCTTCAAATCTACGTCTTGACACACAGAATCTCTCAGAAATAATTTCTCCAACAAAAATCTTCATTATTGTCAAAAAGGTTGCGAGTAGAACTACACCCGCCAAGTTAAATAACAATTTTTAACTTTGTTCCATCAAAAAACTGATTCCCCTAACTCTAATACCACTTGTTAGGACAGAAATAAGAAGGTTTAATGCGGAATCTAGCAAAGCAAACATCGAAAGACCATGAGTAAGAAGACAAACGAGAAACACACCAAAAGACAGAAAAATTTAACGTGGTTCGGTCAATTGACCTACGTCTACAAAGGAGATGAACAATACACTATAAATATGAGATAACAAACATAGAGATAAACAACCACAACCAATTTACTCTAAATATAAAGAGGTACACAAAATTCTTCCCCAAAACTGCAACTCGCAAAACCCTAGGACTACATTGGAGTGCAAATTAAGTTAGAAAGAACAAGACTATGTTTATAGAGTACCAAAAGATTTCCTACAAGAAAAGGACTACTCAAAATATTAAAACCTTTTCCTAAATGTAAAACTTATTTATGGTAAATAATCACGGCAAATAAACCCCAAAAAATCTCACCCTTGGCCTGAATTTCCGACAAAATAAATTTTTCCATCTTCTTTACATAATATTTAGGATCTTGCATCTCTTCTCCATAATATCATTCATCGAATCTTCGTCTCGACATAGGGAACCTCTCTGAAACAATTTCTCCAACAAAGATCTTCATTACTGTCAAAAAGGTTGCGACTAGAACAACATCCGCCCTGATAAACACCCATCTCTAACATAACTCTATCAATGGATCGAACTCTGAAACTAATTTTTAGGATCGTAATTAAAAATGTGTACATGGAAGAGAGCAAAGAAAATCTCAAAAGATCATGAGTAAGAAGACAAACAAGAAACCCACCAAAAGAGACCGATTCAATGTGGTTCAGTCAAATGACCTACGTCCACAAGGAAGATGAGAAATTTACCATAAAAATGAGAGTACAAAATATAGAAATTAACAACCTCAACCAATTCACTCAGAATAAAACGAGGTACATGAAATTCTCCTCCATAACCACAACACTCAAAACCCTAGGACTACATTGTGAATGTTAATTATGTTAGAAGGAACAAACCTATATTTATAGAGTTTCAAAACCTTTCCTATAATAAAATGCAACTCAAAATATTAAAACATTTTCCTAAAAGGAAAATTTGTTTATGATAAGAATCGGGGCAAATAAACTCAACCAACATTGTCTAAAAAATCTTCTTGCAATACAATGGCCCAATTATCAAGCCTGTTCTCGATATTTTGAGTGTTGATTTGCGTTATTCAGATATTGATCATTTGTTGTTCTACCGGAGGTGTTTAGGAACCCGCCTTCCAAAACCTTTGTCTTGTTTTCTATTGGAATCTCCATAATCACAATTGAGATATTTTAAGATAACATATTGTACCTTAACATTGCCTTGAATCTTGTAATTATCGACCTAAGACATGTTATTTTTGCTCAAATATTGGATACTAAAGCCCTCGTGGCTCCATTGCTCTCTAACTTGAAGCTTAGGGGTTGTAATGATATCCAATTCCTCCATATTTCATCCCTGATGCTTAATTTCTTGTTCATTATTGAAAGTCATTACGTGGATTTGAAGTTTCTCAAAGCCTATCCTGAGCTAAAAATGTTGAGCATTTTGATGGGCGACACTACAATTCAAAATTATTAATTTTGGGAGAAGGTTAATTTGTTAGAATTTATTTGATCATTCTCTAAATTAATGGAACTTTAGTGAACTTTTTTTCATGAAGTTCTCTTAACTTGTAGAGGTGACAATTAAGCCGACAAGATTACTCGAGGATGATGGAGTCTGGAGCTTTGACGTTGGCATGCTCCAGTTTCCTCCAGCATCACCAAATGTCGACATACTGTTTGATGATTATTAATTCCAACTAACTAGGTTATACTATTAGTATAGCGATATTAATTGGAATTACAAAGGAATTTAAGAACTAAAAGGGAAATTGAAGAACAAAGATAGAAGAAAGGGATGGAAGCAAAACTGATCAATGAAAAGGGAAGAGGAAATATAAATACACTTTGAAAATTTAAATACCCGTTCTTTTAGCTTCTAGTCCTTTTCAACAGATGTTAATTGGGTCAGGACCTCAAATAAAACTCTCTAATATTTTACTCTGCCCAATAGTTAGAATTAAATCATTCCCATTCACCACTTTTAGCCCACAAGCTCTCACGGAGCCAACTTTTGGTTCACAACACATTCACTCAAGCGTTCATGTCTGTAGTGATGGGGTTTTGACATTGACCTCTATCTTGTTTAGGATAGAAAGCCTTACCTCTATAAGATCATAGTCAAGCTAGTTTTCGTCTAGTTGAACTCTATTACGAAGTTCATAATTTTTTTCTTACGAATCTAAGTTATATTATTATCAGTTTCCTATATACCAGCTAATTTGCAATCAAAAGAAGTCAATCAAGCAAGGAAAACCGAAAACAGACTGCTCAATCTTTATGCTTCTGGTCCCTGAACTAACTGAAGAGGATTTTAAGTTCTCACAAAATCTTAGAAACACCTTTTGTGGACAATTGAGGGACCATATTCATCATATTCGCACCGTGTTATCAGCATTTGTATAAAATGTAGTTATTCGTGTTGAATTCTCTGAGCTTAAAACAAGTTAAGAAAATACATTCATAGTTAGAACCAATCGTCTGAGACTTGAAAGATTTATTGATTGGTCAAATAATGTAAGCAGAAACTAACTCTTTTGAAAGTATTGAAACAAATGATTTAAGGTTGCTTTGAGAGTAACACATTGTTGTGAAAAGATTTCTCTTATACTACTCAAAAAATGATTGTGAAAGGGTTTTCTCACATAAAGGATTCATAAGGTAAGACTTTCTCACCTAAGCCTGTGAATTAAATAAAGGAGGAGGTCAATCAAAAATAAATGTTGATTAATTAAAGGTCCAACTGATCTAGAATCTACCATGTTAGAAGGCTTAAGGTAGAGAGGTTGATTGTGTTTCATGTCTTTTCACATATTATTTAGAATTTTCGTGTGCGCTTTTTTCCTGGCTTCTCTCGTGCGTTCGACTAGAAAGGTGGTTTTTTAGGCTAACGACCCCTTTATCGATACCACGGGGAAGCATGAACTAGACCAATAGGGCACTACTCTCTGCCTGTTGTAACAACAAATGAAGGTGATCTCTCTCTATTTTCAGTCAGTCATTTCTACCGGCTCCGACCAAGAGGGTCCAAGATTGCTTCGCTTAATGAGACGGACATCGATCTTTGCTTCTACAAGGAGCTATTATAATGAACTCTAGTTTTGATTGACTACTTGATGTGCCCTTCCATGGATAATAAGACAAGTTAAGATTAATGACTATCTCGTGAGATTTATGCTTGTAACTAAATGGACAACGGGGGATTACCATGTTCGATAACTATGTTCCATCATAGGTTTGTCTTAGATAAACATTAGCTAGTGTATCCACCTAAACTAGAAGTTATGGTTCTTACCTTGGTAAGGAAGGTCATCTCTTTTCAGTGGGTGATAGACACCGAATTCCATGTTATAGATCACATAGTCTATGTCGGTTAAAAGTTAATCTCCTATGACAATGAATTAAGGTTAATTCCTAATAGTATCTCAATTGTGTATTAAGATGTTTAACTTGCATTGACCATAGTTATGACGTCATATATTTTTTAACATGATGTTTTATGATTTAGCTTGGCCATTATGTGTCATATAAAGTCTTTTTAGCATGATTTAATATATCTAATGCATTTCTATCATTCTTGGTACATTCCATTTAATAACACATACTTGTGTCTAGGTTGTTTCACCAATGTAGGGTCCGACACTCCTACCTCCCTCACTCGTGGCTAGTAATCTTGTATATACATTGAAGATTGATGAGTTCTTATGATTTGAGGGTCAAGATTCTTTTACTACTTTCATGTGCTTTCCTTTTAGATGTTGTATGTTATGTATTAACTGTGTCTCAATCACTCGTTTGCTGTATAGATGGTTTTGAGACTTATGCTAGACTTCTGGTACTTTTTTGAAAAAACTCTTTTGAAATATTAAATGTTATCTTTTGAACTCTTTATTTCTGTTATCTAGTATGATGTATTCTACGTGACTTATGTAGGGATTCTCGGGGTCCTATATGTCATATCACGTCTAGGGTATACTTTGGATCATGACAGTTTTAGTGTCAATATTCGTAGGAGACAAAACTCAATTTTTGTATCATATTATATAATTTTATAAACTATGTAAAAATGTGTGTGTGTGTGTGTATATATATATATATATATATATACATCTTATACACTTTTATTCAAGATTGGTACCATTTACGATAAGTATATAATACTCTCTTTGTTCAACAATAGTTATTGACTATTGACTTGACACATGGATTAACAAGTAGTAAATTATAGGGTACCAAACCACCCCTATTAAATGTATGTCACCTCATTATAGTTTGAAATAACGTCACTTTGAAATTCCTTTTTTACCCATAATGAAATGAATATCAAGCATACAAATATCTAAGAATTGGTTTAGAGTACAAGTTCCGAAAGTGTTTCTATTTTTCTTAAACACCATGTCAAGTAAAATGATGTCACATAAAATGGGACGGAGGAATTACTATTCAATAACAAGGGTAAAATTGATACAAAATGATAAATTATTCATCAATTTTTAAAAAAAAAATTGGAAAAGTATTGTTTGACATCTCAAAATAGTATAGTCAACAAGTAAAGATAAATGGAGGGAGAAAGTATTATATAATATTATCAACTTTGTCAGTGTAATCTAAAAATATGACTACGTGAGTGCAATATATGTATATTCTGTATAGTAGGCTAGATATTTTTCGAAGTAAAACTCTTAAATACTATAGTAACACTTGATTCATAAGAAACATTTTAAGAGGGTATGTTTAAGTAAACCTTCAACACATTGAAATTCAATATGAAAATACAATTCTAATAGAAAAACAAAGAAATAAAGAAGAAGCAATGAATCTAACAAGCATTACAATTAGGGCGTACACCTCAGAGCCTAACCAATTGTTGTATATTTATTGGATAATTAAATGTCTTTGACTTGGAGCTGTATGATTTCTTTGCCAACAGAATATTTGCTACTTCAGTAGGATGAAAAGCATCCCAAAATATATATTTTGAACGATCTTCACATGGCTGTTGAAGAGGAAGACATGTTATCTGTCCATTGTTCCTTCCCACTCCACAACAACCCTTATCGACCACTTCAAAACCTATATTCAACAGATATATTCAATTACTTTTCGTTTTTCATGTTTAAATGATTTAAAGATTGAAATAGAGAATATATTTACCGTAAGTTTTTGCATTGAGAACAAGATCTTTACTGCTTTCAAATGAATCCAAGAACACAAACTTTGCTCCAGGCAAAACCTTATTGAAACGAATAACAAGCCTTTTGAGTCCTGAATTAAAGAGTTGAATGGCGTCGTTGATCTCTTCATTGCATCTGCTTCCATTCCCATCATATCTTGCTAGCTGATAAGGTATGCATCCTATTTGCCCTATTGCTGTTACAATTACTTTTCGACCTCCTAAATTGTATAATTCCTAAACACATCAAAATATAAGGCACATTAACTACATCGAAAATGATCTTTAGCGGCAATCAATGCCCTTTGATATGTCCCTAAAGGCTAAAATCTTTAACAATATTGGATCTAATGACACTTAACTAATGCTAGTAAAGACTTTAGCATTCTTTGTTTATGTGTCTATTTATTGCCGCTAAAAATTGTTTTTGCTGTAGTATTTACATGCCTTTTATGTCACCTTGTTTTGTATTTAGTATATCTTATAAGAATTGCATGTTCTATATAGAGAGTTGGTTTAACTTACATTACTAGAAATAATTAATGAAAAATTTGACATACGCATGATGGAAAACAAAATTGCTACTGAAATACTGGGAAACTTCCTAATTGTTGGGTCGTTTGGTATGAGGGATTAAAAATAATAATGATGGGATAAGGAAATAGTGATGAGATAAATGTTTTTTTTATCTTGTTTGGTTTTCATGTTTGGAATAACTTATCCCACAATTATATCAGAGCGATGAGAAAAGTTATCCCATATTCATGGTGGATAAGTTATCCTAGGATAGCTAATCCCAATTTAACTTTTTCTTGGATAGCTTGTTCCCGACCAAACGACGATAGTAACTAAAAAGGTGAAGCGCTTGTTCGCGTTTAGTTGAACTCACTAACCGACAATTGCTGGGAATAATCTTGAAGAAGTGCAGAAGCATATTGTTGTGGGGTATACTGTGAATGAGTTGAGTAATAATCAGTCATGAAGTAATTGTTGAGATAGTCATTGCTTCCTAATCCTGAGTACAAAATACACTTGCTCAAATGTGCATTTAGTGTGGAGTTATCTCCTCTGAATAATCTTCTCAGCTCCTCAACACTTCTTCCAAAGTTTCCTACTTGTTGCTTCATTGGCATATGATCACCCTGCATTTACACCATGTACTATTATTCATTTCAAAGGATTTACAACACAATAATTTTTTACCTTGACATTTAACATGTTAAATAGTAACAAGTAGATAAATGTGGTTTCCTTTGTGGAAATTCGCGTGATGAGATACATTCAAATTAATTTGTAATATACTAGGTAAGACTCATGTGTATACTTGTTCAATTTTTATAGATTCTAGTTGAAGTCAAGTTAATAGCACATTAATTTGTGTGTTATACCTTTTTTTGTGTTTTATTTTGTGATTTATACAAGTTAAAGTCGAACTTAATTAAAATGTAGTATTAGAAAACAATTTCAACCAAATACATGAAATATATTTTATTAAATGTATATATACCAAGTTATTTCCCGTTTCATCTCTAATTCCTGCTGCTCCTGATGCATAATTTGCTCCTCTCAACAAATTTCGACCACGAACTCTTGCATAGGGAGGAATATAATTGGGGAAGCCAAGAAGTTGAGCTATGTACATTTAGTGCACAATGATATCAATGAAATTAGCGCAATACAGACCAAAACCAAAAAACATTTAAAATAATCTGAGTAATCCCTCTATTTAAAAAATAATGTCCTAGTTTGACTTGGTACAGAGTTTCAAAAATTAAAAAAAACTTATGAATATTGTAGTCCTAACTTAAAGTTATATTAAATGTACTTAAATGCCCTTTAATTTTGTGATCTTACACATTTCATGTGCAAAATTGAAGTTAAAGTACTATTAAAAAAAAATTGTTCTTTTTTAAGAAATAGAGTATACGATTATAATAATAATTACCTAAAATGTCAACAAAAGTACGACCATTAGTGAAACGACCAGTGGCTCCTTGGGGGAAGTCAAGACCATAAGGCATGTAATTGGCCCTAGCAAGAGTAAGTATCCCATTGTTGTTGCCATTGTCAACAAGTGAGTCCCCAAAGATGAATAAACATGGAACTTGAGGATCTTGTTGTTGTGACCAAGCCTTATTAGTTGTCAACAAGAAAAAAGATAAAAATGTCAACATTAACAATTTTCCCATTACTAACTTTATAATACACAGTAAAAAATTAAGTAGAAAGATGGAAAATATATATAGTGGTACTAGTCCTATTTATAGCTAGTGTCGATGAGTATGCATTTGCTTTCTGTTACATATTTTATGAAGTTCATGTGCCAACTGCCAAGGGAGGATGGGAATTTAATTTGAAGGTGTAAAAGTAATATACTAGTGGATAACTTTATAAAGTTGTGAATGTGTGAATATTATATACAGCGGTGACAGAAAGTGTATCTCGTGATAACTGCATTACAAACACTTGTATTTTGGGAAAACAAATACTATTATTAACCTTATGGCATTAATTTTGGTGGCCCCACCGGACGCTTCTCGAACCTTAATCACATTTCACATTAGAATAGTTATACCAGTGAAGCTTACGTAACTTCAATCTAAAGTTCAAAGCTATAACTCTTCGCAAAATATCATGTAAATCTTATGGTAGATGTTGAAATTTAATATTTTTTAATGCTTCATAAAAAATGAATTTTTTTTTATTATATTGGAAGAATTGATATATCTTAATTACTAAAGATAAGTTTTAAAAATAAAAAAAAAGTTTGCTACAAAAAGATATGTATAAAGAAAAATATTACATAATGTGTAGGTGTGGTAACACAAAATTTATAGAAACAATTACAAATTCAATCGGAAAAGAAAGAAAAATAAATAAAGACATGACATCCATAGTAAAAGACATCACATTATAATAAATAGACAAATATATTTTTATATTGATTAAATTACATTTTTGTTAGAAGTAGACTTGCTATACACAAAATGTTTCATATAAATAAAAAAACTAAAATCATAAAAAAAAAACATGACTATGTTAAAAATTTACAGATACAATATATTTCTTGAACTATATATCAAAAAATTTGTAAATAAAAGATTAAATATGAGTTTTAATGCAATAAAATTCAATGCAACATTTAGTCATCTTTTTACTTTCCATCCCCATTATTTTATTTTTACTTTTGCACTAATTTTTGTACATCTTTGTAATAGTCAAGTACATGAATTTACTAAATATTCGAGATTACATATAAAAGTATAAACGTATTGTTTTAAAAAGATAAATGATTATCTGTCATGATCTAAATCGAGGCATGAGTGACATTTACACTTAACCTCTTTCGTGAGAGAACCAATAAATTTATCCTCAACTTACAAAATATAAACATAATTTGGAAGCTCAAAATATTATTAAATATTGTTTCTCATAACCGAAAGTCATTACATCAAGGACATCTAATCTCCAAATACTTACTCTAAGAGTATTAAAGACACCAAAATAAATAAAATAAAGTAATTTGTGTCCGAAAACTGAGCACATCAGGTAATGACCTAGAGAATCCAACGCAAGCTCGAATGAATAACTCACCCTCGAACCTGATATGCTGAGACTGGCTAGAGCTTAAGGCGAGTCGAAGTCGCTGGTAAACTCGTTGGACTCCATTCAAGAAAAACAAAGAAAAACACAAATAGGGATCAGTACGGGGCAACATGCATTGAGTAGGTATCATCAACCATCCCAAAATAGAAGCTAATATACAATGAATAATAGTATAAAATCAACTATAACACTTAACATGTAGCAAGAAACAAACAACATGAAACATTGATAACAACACTAAAGTAAGTACGCAATCAATCACAATATCACGCATGCATATGGGGACTTGTGCCTCCACACGCTCATTTGATAAAATAAGTTCTTTGAGATTGAGTACATTAAGTTAATTCAATACCTTTTCCTTTAATGTTATCGTGTCGGAACGTGACACTACGATTAAATTATACTGTGTCGGAATGTTAAACTCTGATCCAATTATACCGTGTTGGAATGTGACACTCACGATTTAATTATATCATTTTGAAACATGACATTCTGATCCAGTTATATCATGTTAGAACGTGACATTCACATCCAATAATAAACATGATACTCCGATCCAATTATACCATGTCAGAACGTGACACTTTTGATCCAAAAATATCATTAATTTATCATTTATTATCACTACTTTTCATTCAATTAACAATATTTCATCAAACTTTCTTTATTTAGGACATCACTTTGATAGAGGAGGTTTCATATTATAAATTTCACGGTTTCAGGATTTCACATCAATCACAAACCAGACAATCAAGTACATAGAGAACTTTACAATATCACTCAATGCATATAAATTACTATTAACAATCCATCTATCAAATTAGAACAAATCATGACCTACCTCCATCGAAAATCCAAAATTATGCAAAGATAATTTCCCAATGCTTTTTCATTCTTCAATATATCCAAATATTTCTAACCTATCAAGTATATAATATTCATAAATTAACGGGTTCATAAATAACTCATATTACTATATATCTAATCTAAATTTATATATATATATATATATATATATATATATATATATATATATATATATATATATATATATATATATATATATATATATAAATTTTAATTATCTATTTCAATATATCAAAATTTAGTTCATAATGTAAAAACCCAAAACAAGTCATATTAATCACGTACATCGGTATGTCATAGAGGAGAAGATGAAACCTCTTGCCTATCACCATTATCTATTCACCCTTCAGTCATGTTTTTATTATTATTCTTATCCTAATTACTCTAGATAATTTCAACACAATTTAATCCACTAAAAATCCGTAAGCCTATAACCCACCGAGACCAATTATCCAGTATACCAATCGATGCCTCAAACATTTAGTAATCATTACCCATAATTGCAGGTAAAATGTAGCAGCAACATATAGCCTCCACGTAAGAACAATTTTCTAATATTTCTTTTTCCATCTTTCCTCATTTAATTAATATATTAATTTAAATATGACATCGACTAAAAATGAATTAAATTATATGATAATATACAAAAAAAAAAAAAAACTCCTTTTTAGCTTCGACTACAAAAAAATTTAATTTTCGTATTCACTAGATAATACACTTATAGCAACCCATCATTTTTCTTACTATCCATTCTGCCATTACATGACACTAACTTGTATATGTAATACTATAAGCCTCTACCCAACATTCAATATGCTTAGAAATTAAGGCACACCCATTTTCAATTTTGTTTTTGTTCCACACTGTCTACTCTTTGTTCTCCTTTTCCCCTCTTTTCCTTTCTTCTACAAATTATTCACTGTTCTAATTACTAAAAGACTAATTATAAAATTAGCAAAAGTAACCCCTTATTAATTTTAATGTTATTTTCTTTAATCAACAATTAAATTAATTATTTAAACTATCCCCTTAATCATATCACTATAGTTACGAATAGTCCAAAATATCTATTTAGAACCTATCAAAAAAGTATTTTATGAAATCAAAAGTTCTAGAACTCAAAACGAACAAACGGATCGTTACATTATCGAACAATGAAGAAAACACAATGTAATAAATCGAACCATCATTATTTAGGAAAGGAAAAATGTCGAAAGAATTGGGTCCAATATCCTGCCAAAGCGGGACAGATGCCACTAGGGCGGCAGCGCTCCAGTGGGACAAGGAGCGCCTGAGCTTGATGGTCGGGCCAGAACTTAAATGAGGTGAGTCTTATTTTTTTCCCCAAAACATCAAAAAGAGGCGAGGATCACCCCGAAACCCTCAAAAGGCTGCTCTAGGTAAGAGTTAGTGTTTCAATAAATTTTGAAACAAATTCTTCCGTTGAAAATTTTTTGAAATAACAAAATACATGAATGTGAGTTGTAACGTTCATTTATTTTAATTCTACGCTATAAACTTTTTTTGCAAGACACTTTTAAAATTATAAGTTATAGATTTTTGGAAGTTACTATTTTCATTTCAATTCATGAACCTATAATAAATACTATTTAATTAAAAGTTATTCTTGCAAAACTTTTGTACTATAAATTGAGTTTCTTTTGTTTGAAAGATAAGCACTCAAAAATTACTTCTCCTTGAAAATCATTTGTGAGACATTAATCAAAAGGTGAAATCACCAATTCAATAATAGAAGAGCAACATCCTTGAATGCTATTTGTTTTGTGGCTAAGTTGAATCCCGAAGATAGAGTTTTTATTTATTCTTCCTGTTTCTTGTGGGAGATACTCCAACTATCTTCAAGAAACATATTAACGTGCCTCTAAGTCAAACATGTTTTGTTTTAAATTCCTTGTATTTTTATCATTCTTGTTCATTTGTTCTAACAGTTTTTGAAGATAGTTATCTCTATGACATCCACATTGATGACAAAAGTGTTCCAAATTTTTCTAATTCTAGTTTTGAAATATTTGATGGCAATGAATTTTCTAGATGGCGTGGAAAGATAAAATTCTTTCTAAGACGATTAATGTTGGCATATGTTTTTGAAAGACCTTGTCCTGAGGCTCCTAGTGCTGAGGTAGTAACGTACGAGGCTACTTTAATGAAAGAACAAATTGCAAATGAGAAGTTGATGATTACGTATGCAAGAATTATATTCTTGGAGGAATGTCCAATAAATATTATGATCAATATTAGATTAAGTGCAAATTTACTAAGGAGATTTGTGATACTTTTTAAGCTATCCATTTAGCAGAAAAGTGAGTTCAAAGAAATTTCTTGTTTCAAATTATATGGAGTTCAAAATGGTTGATTACAAGTCAATCATTGAACAAGCACAATAATTTCAACTTATAGCTAATAAAATTGCTAAATCTGGAATTGCTCTTGATGAAAACTTTTGTGTTGGTGTTATTGTCTCAAAACTTCGTCCATCTTGGAAAGAGTACAGAAGCAAACTCTTACACAAGAAGGAAGATCTGACTCTTAAACAATTATTGTAGCAGTTGCAAATTGAATAAGAGACACGATACCATGACAATAACCGCTTGAAGGAATCCATCATGAAAGCTCATGTTATAGAATAAAAGATCAAGAAAAATTCTGCCAATAATAATTTTTTAAAGGCAAAGAAGAGTAAAAATTTCAAGCTTACTAATTCTAATTCTAAGTCGAAAGAATGTTATCATTTT